CGAATAAATGTATCAATGTTTTGATATAGGTAATGGGGTCGAGTCCCGGCAAATCCACAACAAATATGTGTTTGGACTGTTTTCTCTAAAAGCGTTTAGGGATTTTCTCATGTAATTGCTACATTAAAAAAGACAATGGCGTTGAGAAGAAAAACATGTCCGTGGTGAATATGCCTGACTCCAAAAGTGAATACATTGGCAAACCCCTTAATCAAAGAAAGTGAGGTTAAATCTTTACTAAAAGTTGTACCTTATAGAGCCAACTTTAAGTTGACAGTAATTAAGGGAATGTATTGGCCTACTATAAAATGGTAACTCTGAGGAGGCTAAAGCTAACTGTTCTTGATCATACTTCTTTTAATACATGGAGCTTGGATAAAGAACTAGATGAGTTTATTTAGTAATACAAGCTATTTCATTCATTCAAAAAGAATCGTCCATTCTTTTTCATCAAAATACTCATCTGTGTTGACAACGCAAGAATTTAATGCAATCTAATCTTAAGTACATCTTTTTCTGGTCGAGTAGAGCAATAATTTTGGATTTCCCATCATTCATCTTTCTGGTACTTTGTCGATTATAAGTACTTCTATGTTTCTAAAATAAATTGCAACAAGTTAGTTTTTAAAACTTTTCCGGAGAATTTGATAGATAATTCTTTACTTATTTTCTAAAAAAAAAAAAATTAAGGATGGTGTTCAGTCCTCTGAAGACGGGACAAACAATACAAAAAATATGATTGGGTAACTACGCAGATCTTTGAACAGAGTTCATTTTACTCACTTTTGTCTATAGTCCCGTCATAGATCATATTTATATCTGACATAGTAAACAAAGCAGTACACTCTGAGGTATACTCCACGTCTGTGTTTGACATACTTCTACAAAATGCAAACATCCATATAACTTATGGTAACGCGATAGCTCGATCAGTGTTTGCAACCGCGTCTCTTTGTGCGAGTTACGTCCGGCGCGATTATAGACGGCTTTTTATGCAGAACAAATTCATTTTATTTGAAGGAGTGAAGGTGAATTAGCCAATGGGGTCCTCGGACCCCCCTCCATCATGCATACTCGGTATTGGTCGCCTCCGACTCAAGGTCACTGCATCCTGGGTATCTCTGGGACTTGTCCGCTGGGCAATGGTATATTGTGTGTTGCTGCAACGCAAGGTATTCGAATACTTAAATGGATAGTAACAATATTGAAAATATCCAAGAACTAGCTTTGATACGGATTACATTTTATTTACAAGCCTGTCAACAGTGGCCTTCGTTACTTATACCACCAAAATAAGTACCATATGGACGTATAGGGGGGGAAACGCAGGAAAACCGGACTGTCAAGAAATATGCATGCACAACGTACCGTAGTGAATTTCAAATAAACATTTTTTTTCAGTTATTCTAAATTATTGTGACACATAAAGGTCTTAAGACCCATTCAACCAATGTAATCGGATTCGGGCACACGTTCTCGAAGAACATATTACTGTACATGCCAAAAAGGTACCGTAGAACATTTCAAGAAAATATTAATTACCTATTTTAAATTACTAAGACGCATAGAGCAGTTTAATTTTCACACTATTGACATTTTTCGTTCGTTAAGGCTATTATATTTTCTTCTTAAACTCATTTTCTTCGCATGCGTTGCCTCATGGTTTAGTATACATAAATGATTACAATAAATATATCCGTTCTAAACAATTATTTTCAAACAATACAATGCTCATTGCCATACAAACTCGGAGACATACGCTTGAATCTTTTTTTGCTTTAAGTTTTTTCCCATTCACTTATGTATAAACACACTGGTTCCCTAGGAAGATATGGGAGTTATTCTATGCATTGTCGGAATACAGCTTTCTCTATTGCAACAATGCTTAATGCCTCGGGCTCTTAGAATATCTCTGCACTTTCTATATTTGCTTGACTATTCGAACTATTGTATGGTGAAATGAATGACTTTTTCATTTGATCTGCAATGCAAAGATTTTGACTCGATCTCAACCATATAATCCTTTCCCATATATCAACCTAGAATCGAGAAAATTATCGATGTACACACATTTTCTTCTGATTTCAAAGTAGTCTACCACATAAAAATTAAATTACTGTTTTGTAAGTTTAATCTTTATATTGACGTGTTGCAAAATAAATTGTGATGAAATGTTTTAACTTTTTTCAGTGACGGATGAATCATTTTAAAATCAATAATAATTATTCATCTGATGAATCATTTCACCGTGTAATTCTCAGAAACTTCAAATCGTTGAATGAACGATCGATTTGTGTGCGAGTGAAGACGAAGACGTCAGAAATCGATAAACACCCTGGCTGTCAAACACTCCCCGTCAAACACTGGCCGTCAAACGATCTGTCAAACATATCCCAATCGCTTATCCTGTTTACTGCAATAGACCACTTACGGCATTACTTGCATGAATGATTACTTTCTGCTCATTCAATTCAATAAAAACATGTCATTCGGTGATGACTGAGAATTGCCTAGAACAGAGAAAGATCTCCCAACGTTGACCCCTGCATTAATTTATATAAATGAAACAACATTTCAAAACTTTTTTCGGAGGGAAAATTAATCCAGTTCAATACCCATTTACCTTTTCAACATTATGTCTGCTTAAAACATTTATTAGGTGAATAGAACTACTAATTATAATACATTTGTTGATTTTAGATCTGCAATATAAAGAGTGTATATATCTAAACCTACCCCAATCATGTCACAGTTGTCAAAAATGTAGCCTATTTAAAATACATTTTCAGTCTCTTGCTTACAATATGATTGTGGTTAAACATTCAACTGAAGGAACAGATGTCCATAATTCATATTTTAACTTGTATAAAGAAAATTGGTTAGCATAACTGGATCATTGAAAATGGACTGTTGAAATATTTTAAAACGTGAGGGGGTAAAGCCCTTAAGAAAATTATCTTTTTAATTACCATTCGCAGGTGCGCTAAGACTTAATCTTTAAAATGACACCTCACTCTTAAAAATATTTTTAGCTGGACGGCTAATAAAGGGATGTTAGTGAGAAACCCCTTCCTATATTAAGTATAAAGATAGATTCAACATCGAAAAGATTTCAATAAATTATCCTGGCTAAATGATCAGCTGATCTTGTTTAGCAAAAGACCTAATCTATTATATTATTAAAACGATACAATCAAATTTTATGTAAACGGTTAAGGTCATTTACCAAATAAAAATATAGGCATATGGCACATCAAAATGAAGCTTAGAGTGTGTAGATATGCCGAAAAGTATTGATATGACGAATTTCCTAAGGGCTCTGCCCCACAGGCTGATTTCCAAAGGGCTACGCCTGGCATGCTTCAAATGTTTAAATGATTTAATTTAATTTAGTTAATGAAACAGCTGGTCAGTACAATGAACTGGTGTTTGTTTATTTACTCGAATAACATGTTTGTTTTGCTTTATGTAGATTGAGGAGGGTTATGTTTGGTTTTAAAGTGAGGTTGTACATGTTTTGTAAAGTATTGCTCAAAGTTTCATTTCTTAATTTATATAGTAAACTACATGTGAAGAGGCTTGACTAAAATTGAAGAAAATGGTAAAACATGTAATTCATGAAGCATCAATATGAAGCAATAATTTATGCTATTACTACACTAAGGTATGTTGTCATATTCTTAGGGATCTATTAATATCAAAAGTAGGGGTTTGAAAGTAAGTAGGTTTACGTTTTTAAATCAGTTTTATTTTCAAACTACCCTAAATCATCGAGTTGCTGTATTTTAAAACACACGTCAGCACCACTTTAATAGCTCTCTAGGTCACATTTTCTTCCCGTTGCAAAGCACGGGTATAGCAGCTTGTATCAATCTACAACTCTACACTCTCCTTCACGCATCTTCGCCTAAGCATTGAAACAACTGGGAAAGTACATTCAAATGGAGTACCAGCCACTTTATAGTCATTTTGTCAATCGGTTGACTCTGTCATTAATGGTAGCATAGACAAATAAAATTAAATATTGACCGACAGCAGTGCTGCGGTTAGCATAAGCTCTGGCGTCCACCGCTAGGAGTGCCTTGTAGTTACGTAGTGCGTGCACCCTAACTACATGGCGCTCCAAGCGGTGGATATCAGAACTTATGCTAATTGCAGCACTTCTGTTGGTCTATATTTAATTCGATTTGTCTATGATATTGTGTTAACTAATGGTGTTATATCCCATGAGAATTATGTTTTGGTTTTAATGAGCAATTCGATATACACAACCTACTAATTTGTTCTTGCTCATGAAAACGCCAAAGTGTGTTTATTTGTGTGCATTTAATTTTATAATATGTAATACTGTAGTATGATTTCCTTTTCTAACGACTATTACCATCATTATGTAAATGTTACCAAGCTATGAAATATAATGGTACACTCTAACCACTTTTAATGATTGTGATTGAACACAACATCAACTTTATGATAGTAATCGCATAAACTAGAAACTTACTTTAACCTATAATTGTCGTCACACTGTACTTTGTAATTAGATTAAAGACGCATTGCCTGGCTGTGGGTGATTTTGATTTCACGTTTAACGTGTTTTTTCAGTAGTTGATGTTGTAGTACGTAGTATGTTGATATTGACATAATTTTGTCACTTACTCCGTGATCTTAAAACACCCAATCTGGAGGTGGGGATGGCCCCATCAGTGGGTTTTGGTTATGATCAGTCTACTTTTAAAGTATCCGAGGCAATAGTGATGCCTACACATTTTCTATGGGCTATTTCATGGTCTCCCTTCAGGATCTAAATCACATAATCCGTGATCTAGTGTTGATGGACCCCATCATCAGATTTGACAAAAACATCTTCCACTCTACTAGTCTACTTGTAATATCTGAAGGTGATGGCAATGCCAAAATCTTGATGAAGATCTTGAAGATTTATTTTCTCTTGGCTGTTTAAAGCACTCCCAACAGTTCTAACTTCCCCCGTGTTTTTCCAGGGTCGGCAGCCAGGTGGTGATGGACCCTACAGTGTTGTGCAAGAAGACGCGTCGTCTGCGAGGCAGGATGGCGGACATCTGCAAGCACGAGCCTGCCTTGCTGAAGGAGATCTCTCGCGGTGTACAGCTGGGCACCCGGGAGTGTCAGTTTCAGTTCAGGAACCGCCGCTGGAACTGCACGACCGCCCGCCGCAGTCTCAAGAAAGTGCTCATGAGAGGTTAGTTGATGAACTAATTATTTTTCACACAATATAACGTAGGTTTCCATTGGAAATGAAGACTGACGGATTTTGGTCTTTGGAAGATGATGAAATTGTGTCTTTACTTGTCATAAGCTAAGGTAGTCTTCCACAGCCAAAAATGACTGACTAATCTTGAACTACGGGAGATGGCTGCGTCAATGGACGAAAATATTGGACGACATTGTGGACATCCATGGACTCCATGGATACCACTTGATCTCTGAAATTAGAGGGAGTTGAGCTTGAATTATGCTAGAGATGTCCTCAATATTAGTTTATATAGATGTGTAGAGGGATATTTAGGATTGTAAGAACTTTTTTTAAATGAGGGTCTCGAATCTCGATGCGATGAACGGCTTGGACAGTGTTCACCTTCTTTCTCTGCCCCTCCTCTCGTGTTCTCTCTGAAAGTAGAGGGAGTCAGCTGTAGCAAATAAAAAAAACACAGACGAATCAATCACTTACAAAGTAGTATAAAACTCCTAAAAGGAACAAAACCACTCAGTAGTGTCGTTTTGCCAATCGTTTAGCAAATCCGCAAACCATAGTTTTAACTGCGTTTGACTTTACTGACCAAACAAGTTGAGATAAACATTGCTGCTGCATAATCACTCCGACGTTAATAGTTGGTGTTCTGTAAGAGTGAATGCGGGTAGCTCAACCAATGCAATGACGTAAGAGAAGAGTTTGATGCAGCCAGCCAGGCAGCAGACACTGGACTGGGCATAAATAACTCTGAGGATGCAACAATGACATCCCCGTCCATGTGTCGGATAATTGAATGTGAAGATAAGTTTCACGATTTCAAAAATGGCCATCAGAGAGCGTTTCTGTAGGAATGTGGATAATTGCACTCAGTTCCTCTCGCGACGTCCCCTCTCTGTCTTTCTCTCTCCCTCTCTCAGCATCTCTCTCTAACTCTCAGGTTATCTCTGTCTATCTTCCTCTTGATCGCTGCCACTGTCGTTTTTGCAGGGAGGTTCGGGAATCGGTTGAAAAGGTTTTTCAGACGGCTACTTACGAAATGGAATCACATAGTTTCCCACCGAATGAAAACGCCTCGGCTTCGATTTATTGCTGATGTGAACTGAGTTGGCTGACATGAAGATCGTTCAAAGTGTCGAAAGAGGCTATGAATATTCAATAAAAAAATTCATAATAATGGAAATATAATGAATTAACTAGGTAATACTGACAAATTAACCAAGTAACGAGGTGTTGCGTGATTAAATCTCATAGGTGATGTTGTAATAATTTGCGCAACACCAGCTCTACACCACTATTGATATGGACCTGAATATGGTAGTTTTTACCGATGGAATATAATTGCATAACCTTCAATAACATTTCTTAAAATGTTCCAATGTAATCCACTACATAAGATTTTGAATAACGTGATTAAATTGTAGTTTCCTTTTAAAATTGAAATTCAAAACAATTGGATTTTGCTGAATAAATCCGTGTACTGTTGAAATTACCTGCTGTCAAGTGATCCTTGTGACCTTGAAAGGCGACCGGTTTCGATCCTCACGGGATCATCTTCAATCATCTTCTTGGATCATCTTCATGAATAAATCCACTCGATCTTAATGAAGATTTACACTCTACCTAATTGCATTAAGTAAAAAATGATCACTACTCATTGTGTAAACGTAAACATTTAGCTGAAGACAGCGGCTACATCCTCTACCACAGTGCCTGGTTTTCCAGTCCGGTACAACTACATACCAGAACAAACAATTCAATTGTTGCTCGGCTAGGTTTGTGTAATGGAGATAGTGTAACATCGATTCGCCTCGCTCATACATTATGGGGCGGTCTGGTTGGGATTTCAAATGACTCATTATGAACTCGTTAAGGACTCGTCTTGTTCCCTGGTCCGACTCTTGCATCCTAATCGCGATCCTGTCGCACGTGTTAGGTAATTAATACGAACATTGGCCGCCATCTCAATTAGTTGAACGGCTTGGACAGTGTTCACCTTCTTTCTCTGCCCCCTCCTCTCGTGTTCTCTCTGAAAGTGGAGGGAGTCAAACTTGAATAATGCCAGAAGTGTTCTCATAGTTTAAGTAGATCTGTAGAGGGATATTTAGGATTGTAAGATCTTTTTCAAATGAGGGTCTCGAATCTCGATGCGATGAACGGCTTGGACAGTGTTCATCTTCTTTCTCCTTATCTCCCCCCTCACGCGTTGTCTCTGAAAGTAGAGGGATTCAAGCTTGAATTATGCCAGAAGTGAGCTCAATATTATTTTATGTAGAAGGATCTATTTGATTAAAAAACTTTTGCCAAATGAGGGTCTAGATGAGGATGCGATGAAAGGCTCGGAGAGTGTTCTTTCTCTTTCTCTTTCTCTCCCCCCTCTTGCGTTCTTTCTAAAAGTGGAGGGAGTTGAGCTAGAATTATGCCAAAAGTAATCTCAATATTAATTGATCTTGAAGGTTTTGTAGGATAGGACGTTTTTTTTTTTCAAATGAGAGTAATGCAATGAACTACTTGGACAGTTTCCCCCTTTTCTGCTTCCTCTTGTGCTTACTTTGGCAGAAATTGGCGACTTGAACTATGCCAGGAGTATCCTCAGTGATATTTTGAGAGATTTTTTAGGATTGTAGGAGCTTTCTTCAATTTAGGATACTAATCAGTTGAATGGTACGGACTATCTACATTCCTCTATATCACTTCTGATGCTCTCACGTTTTCTTCAAAAGTGGAGGGAGTTAAGTTTGAACTATGCCAGGAGTGTCATTGAATGGTTTTAGGGTAGGAGAAAGGGTTTAACTGGTCTAGTTGCTATCAATTGCAAAGTGGTAGGTTTATGATGTAAAAAAATAATTGTATTTAGTCCACATTCTATCAAATTTCTACCTTAAGTTGATGCTTTACAGACACCAGAGAAAGCAGCTTCATCAACGCCATCATGGCTGCTGGTGTGACGTATTCTGTGACCAGGGCTTGTACCTTGGGGGACCTCATAGAGTGCTCATGCGACAAAACTATCAAAGGTAACTAGAAGCTTACAATTCTACTAATAGTTATAAAAATGTGTTATAGTTTTTGTTGTCAATGGATGACTGAAGGGTTTCGTGCAACACCAATACCTTCAGATTTCAAAAATCAAACCAGATTATTTATCTTAAGTCTTATTGCTCACTTGCAGAAACCTAGTAGGCAAACTACAACTGAATTTATGATCTCTTAAGAAACTCATAGAGAAATTATAGTCCAGTAGATATACACTTTATACCTGGAAAGTATTCCGAACATGGTGGAATTTTTAAATGTTGTCTGGGGGTACTCTGAGATGTATAGAGTTTTCAACCTCTAGCACCCTGTGCACGTAGTTTACAAATCAGACTGGCGAGTGTTGATCGAACAATTAGGAGGGGTCAAAAATTTCAAAATGTTCGGTATTGTTTTGTTTTTTGTGTATATGTTGTAAATTAAGCATATTTTGTGTACCATTGTGCATTACAAAGTTGTAGAACATAATATTTGCTAAATTTTGGTTGGTAAAACAAACCTGTAGACTCAATATTAACTGGGATACGGCCGAACAAAGTTTTTTTTTATGTAAGCGAATTGTTGAATTGTTTTATGTAACCTAACCTAATTCAACCTACTGCTAAATGCACTAAGGGGTTCAAAGAAGCCGAAGACTCGCACCTTACGTGCTCTTTTGACCTGCTTCTATAAACTCAAGGGCATGGACAAATAATGTAACATCCATGCCCCCTATCATGTATTAATGTACTATGTATTCCTATTAGTTATTTCTTATTTATTGATTAAATAAATTTGTTTTGTAAACTTTCTGTGAATACTGTACCCTATTTGAAATTTGTAGGTAGGCAGAAAACGCTCCATTCCGATTAGTGGTTCAGCCTCAGTTAGTGGTTAAATCCCTTTAACTAAGTAAATATATAATTACACCCAGCCAGGCGGCTTCCATTAGTGTAATAGGTGGTGTTTATCTCAGTGTACAACTCTTAATCATCTACGTTTATTTAAATAATAACCAGTCATCCTGTAGGTCGTTGGTATTAGTAATCAAACGTGCAACTCCAATGTTGGTTTCAACTCCCGTTTCAGAGACTTGCTGTGGCTTAGGCTTCCAATTGAATCTTCAAAATTACAACCAAAATAAAATTATGTGTTTAACATAGCCTATTAAACACATTGTATTCGAAAGATGAAAAACATCAAAATTCGATGGTAAAGAAGCTACAACTTATAAGACATAACGACATAAGATTAGGACTTATAAGACAACAAGGTTTTCTCCAAATAAGTTGTAGGAATTTTTTTTCTGAAACTGTTGGGGGTTTTTCTCAGAATAATTGTAGAATTTTAAATAGACTATAATCCATCAATCAACAATTTTAACCGTCGTCTAAAATTATTGTGACCTTTGCACGCAGTCGTTTCTGAGGAGGGAAGTGAGGAAATAAAAGGTACGTAATAGTTCAATATTTCAATCTATATTCATATCATAAGACAGCTAAAAATCAAAAGTGACTACAGCGGAAAAACTTTTTACGACACATTCTGGCCGGAAATTAAAATAATTGTGTATGAGTTGTGTTCATCATAAGTTAGCTTTATAAATCTGGTCCTGGGAGGACCAATGCCCGGACACTCCGGTGTATTGTAGGTGGCTGTATTGTATTGATGATGTATTGTGGTAGTGTCCTGACGTGTAGCAGAGGCAAGGTATGTTACAGGGAGGACCAATGCCCCGGACACTCCGATGTATTGTAGTAGGCTGTATTGTAATTATGATGTATTGTGGTAGTGTCCTGACGTGTAGCAGAGGCAAGGTATGTTACAGGGAGGACCAATGTCCCTGACACTCCGATGTATTGTAGTAGGCTGTATTGTACTGATGATGTATTGTGGTAGTGTCCTGACGTGTAGTAGTGGCGAGGTATGTTACAGGGAGAACCAATGCCCCTGGCACTCCGGTGTATTGTAGTAGGCTGTATTGTATTGATGATGTATTGTGGTAGTGTCCTGACGTGTAGTAGTGGCGAGATATGTTACAGGGAGGATCAATGCCCCTGACACTCCGGTGTATTGTACGTGGCTGTATTGTATTGATGATGTATTGTGGTAGTGTCCTGACGTGTAGCAGTGGCGAGGTATGTTACAGGGAGGACCAATGCCCCAGACACTCCGGTGTATTGTATGTGGCTGTATTGTACTGATGATGTCTTGTGGTAGTGTCCTGACGTGTAGCAGTGGCGAGGTATGTTACAGGGAGGACCAATGCCCCAGACACTCCGGTGTACTGTATGTGGCTGTATCGTATTGATGATGTATTGTGGTAGTGTCCTGACGTGTAGCAGTGGCGAGGTATGTTACAGAGAGGACCAATGCCCCGGACACTCCGGTGTACTGTATGTGGCTGTATTGTACTGATGATGTATTGTGGTAGTGTCCTGACGTGTAGCAGTGGCGAGGTATGTTACAGGGAGGACCAATGCCCCAGACACTCCGGTGTACTGTATGTGGCTGTATCGTATTGATGATGTATTGTGGTAGTGTCCTGACGTGTAGTAGTGGCGAGATATGTTACAGGGAGGATCAATGCCCCTGACACTCCGGTGTATTGTACGTGGCTGTATTGTATTGATGATGTATTGTGGTAGTGTCCTGACGTGTAGCAGTGGCGAGGTATGTTACAGGGAGGACCAATGCCCCTGACACTCCGGTGTACTGTATGTGGCTGTATCGTATTGATGATGTATTGTGGTAGTGTCCTGACGTGTAGCAGTGGCGAGGTATGTTACAGAGAGTACAAATGCCCCGGACACTCCGGTGTACTGTATGTGGTTGTATTGTATTGATGATGTATTGTGGTAGTGTCCTGACGTGTAGCAGTGGCGAGGTATGTTACAGGGAGGACCAATGCCCCAGACACTCCGGTGTACTGTATGTGGCTGTATCGTATTGATGATGTATTGTGGTAGTGTCCTGACGTGTAGTAGTGGCGAGATATGTTACAGGGAGGATCAATGCCCCTGACACTCCGGTGTATTGTACGTGGCTGTATTGTATTGATGATGTATTGTGGTAGTGTCCTGACGTGTAGCAGTGGCGAGGTATGTTACAGGGAGGACCAATGCCCCTGACACTCCGGTGTACTGTATGTGGCTGTATCGTATTGATGATGTATTGTGGTAGTGTCCTGACGTGTAGCAGTGGCGAGGTATGTTACAGAGAGGACAAATGCCCCGGACACTCCGGTGTACTGTATGTGGTTGTATTGTATTGATGATGTATTGTGGTAGTGTCCTGACGTGTAGCAGTGGCGAGGTATGTTACAGGGAGGACCAATGCCCCTGACACTCCGGTGTACTGTATGTGGTTGTATTGTATTGATGATGTATTGTGGTAGTGTCCTGACGTGTAGCAGTGGCGAGGTATGTTACAGGGAGGACCTATGTCCCAGACACTCCGGTGTATTGTATGTGGCTGTATTGTACTGATGATGTATTGTGGTAGTGTCCTGACGTGTAGCAGTGGCGAGGTATGTTACAGGGAGGACCTATGTCCCAGACACTCCGGTGTATTGTATGTGGCTGTATTGTACTGATGATGTATTGTGGTAGTGTCCTGACGTGTAGCAGTGGCGAGGTATGTTACAGAGAGGACCAATGCCCCTGACACTCCGGTGTACTGTATGTGGTTGTATTGTATTGATGATGTATTGTGGTAGTGTCCTGACGTGTAGCAGTGGCGAGGTATGTTACAGGGAGGACCAATGCCCCTGACACTCCGGTGTATTATATGTGGCTGTATTGTATCGATGATGTATTGTGGTAGTGTCCTGACGTGTAGCAGTGGCGAGGTATGTTACAGGGAGGACCAATGCCCCGGACACTCCGGTGTATTGTATATGGCTGTATTGTATTTATGATGTATTGTGGTAGTGTCCTGACGTGTAGCAGTGGCGAGGTATGTTACAGGGAGGACAAATGCCCCGGACACTCCGGTGTATTGCAGGTGGATGTATTGTACTGATGATGTATTGTGGTAGTGTCCTGACGTGTAGCAGTGGCGAGGTATGTTACAGGGAGGACCAATGCCCCAGACACCCCAGTGTATTGTATGTGGCTGTATTGTATTGATGACGTATTGTGGTAGTGTCCTGACGTGTAGCAGTGGCGAGGTATGTTACAGGGAGGACCAATGCCCCAGACACCCCAGTGTATTGTATGTGGCTGTATTGTATTGATGACGTATTGTGGTAGTGTCCTGACGTGTAGCAGTGGCGAGGTATGTTACAGGGAGGACCAATGCCCCAGACACCCCAGTGTATTGTATGTGGCTGTATTGTATTGATGACGTATTGTGGTAGTGTCCTGACGTGTAGCAGTGGCGAGGTATGTTACAGGGAGGACCAATGCCCCGGACGCCCCCCTGGATGGCGAGTGGGAGTGGGGTGGTTGTGGAGACAACGTCAACTTCGGATACCGAAAGTCCCGAGCGTTCCTGGACTCTCCTTATCGCAGAAGGAGTGACATCAAGACACTCGTCAAACTCCACAACAATGACGCTGGACGGCTGGTGAGTTTCTTTTAATATTGGGACGTTTTTGTTGTTTATTCATTAATTGTCTACACATACTCTTTTGGTGCTAGCTAAAATTATGGCAGGATGAATTTCAACCTGGGGAAACTTATAGTAATGTCCTTCTTAATTTGGGCGTACACACATAACATATATTTTCGTACACACGTCACCACCTACACTGTTCTTACTAAGACTCATACTTATCTAGGAAAAACATTTACAGGACTTATATGTATACTCTTTATTTATGGTTAAGTGCTTCTAAAGCCCCTTTCTTTTATAGTTCCTCGACACAAAACAAATCTTTGAAAACTCCACTTAACAATGCCATTGTCGCCAGTGCAACATTTGTAAGACACGTCTTTTTTCGATTTATTAGCCATCTCACCGTGTAAACAGTAAATGCATTATGCAGCGATGGCAGCGAGTGGCCGTATTGACAGCTGTAACAAGTGTTAACGAGTCAAGATCGATTCAATGAGAGCTCCGAGGTGACGACGGTCTACAAAAACTACATGAATTTTCGTTTTTTATTTTAGTGCCACTTGAAATTCACACCGGCCGCTTCTGCCAGTCGTTACTTTTTTTAGAAGAGCGATTCAATCAGACTGGAGACACTTGTAAACATTCCTGCATCTGGTAAAACAAAGTGAGGATGTCTCGGGTGTACTCGCGGGGAATACGTCCAAGAAGCAGTTCATCGCGATGGCCACAATATCTATTTAGGGTTGTTCATATCATATTTCTCTGCAATTCACAGTTGCATGAAGGTTTTGTATTACTAAGTCTCTGTCCACCTTTTACTCCCATGAGTTATTTTGGTTTGTGTTTCTTGTCACTACGTACTTAACACAAATACTCAATTATGGGACTACAACGTTAAAGGGGGTTCTTTTTTTCTCGTGATTGCATTGTTATATGATCGAAACTGCAATAGACTCACAATCTATGCATAACACTGATGTGTTAAAAAGCTACTATATTGTACTGTTGTGAATGTTGAAAAGGCGTCGTAAAACTATATTAATAATCTGATGTAATATCAGCAACTCAAAAACTCGTCTGCAAGGACAATACACTTCTACATGAGAGGCTCAGATAAACTTAACCTTTTAGTCTAGATTTTTACTTATATCAATTCATATTCTTTTCATGGAATAAATGAATTTGTGGTTGTATAATATATGTGTGATTGTGCTTTATCTGTTGTAGTCTGTGAAGAACTTCATGCGCACAGAGTGTAAGTGCCACGGGCTCAGCGGTTCCTGTACATTGAGGACTTGCTGGAGAAAGATGCCATCCTTCCGCGACGTTGGCAACCGTCTCAAGGAGAGGTTAGTCCTTGTCAATTAAAGGACTAATAATGGAAATGGCAAAGTCTCAATTATACTTTACGTTTCAAGAAAAATATTTTTGTAATGCTTGATTAGAGGAGGCAAAGTTTGTCTTGGCGAAGAGTGGTTGGACATTACTGCTCGCTTTACGAGCAGAATTTATTGTAGATCCCGATGTCTAATTTCATCTTGTCAATTAATGAAGTTATCTTACAAAACCTAGATGTTTTACAAGAACAGTGATTTGGACCACTGACATGCAAGACATGCATCGTCTAAGGCGTTATCATGAGTAATAATTGATCACCAAGTCATTAGGTAACATTCTACATCTCATTTTCTACAGTCACTTTGACATTCTAGGTTCGACGGCGCCGCCAAGGTGATTCCCAGCAACGACGGGCGTCGCTTCATCCCAGAGGGCGCCACCATCAAACCCCCTGGCAGGACGGACCTGGTCTACTCCGAGGAGTCCCCGGACTACTGCAAGCCCAACAGGAAGACAGGGTCTCTAGGCACCCAGGGTAGGGAGTGCAACGCCACGTCCCCCGGAGTGGAGGGATGCGAACTCCTGTGCTGTGGACGAGGGTACAAGACCAGGAAAGTCCTGGAGAAGACCAACTGCAACTGTGTGTTCAAGTGGTGCTGTGAAGTGACGTGCAAAACGTGCGAGACGCTACGAGCGGTCAGCACGTGCCGTTAGAATTGGCGGGAACACACCCGCGAAAAATGTGTGAGCTGGAAACATGAACGGCGGAGTGCGAAAGGTGCTTCTTCGAGTTAACCTATAGAACTGTAGATGTAAGCGTGTTTGGAAGAAACGAAAAGTACGTGCCATTATATTGGAAGGAATCGCTATGGAATGAAAAGATCGGCCGCGTAAGTAACATGGACGGCGTTAACGGTGGGAAATGTTTGAAAGGAACTTCAGTCAAATTAACCTATAAATCAACAAAGAGGATACAATCGGAAGCAAGATTTTTGACAATAAATTGATCTCGAATACGCTAATTTGAAACATAGTGTAGGCAAAAATAAGAAAATAAGAAAGAAGAGCTATAAATAATTCTAACCATTTTTTTACATACGAGTATTTCTGGCTCCATTTAAGTTTGGTTGCGGTGATCGTTTAGTAGATTGGAGATACTAAGCCAAACTGAATGCAAGCAGAAATAACAAATGTTTTTCAATCACATCTAATTTTCTTTTAAATTTCTTTACTAATGATCCTTAAATTTGACATTAAAAACATCTAGGGCTATAACCAAAATTTTTAATATTTTTATGGTAAAAACAATTAAAATGTTCATATTAATTTGAGACATAATTACCATCTCGGATAATTGTTTTTAAATAAATTAACTACAAATTAGTACCTAAATGGAATTGACATTAACCAGAAATTGCATTTATCTATTACTACTTAGGCCTACCTAATTCATGGAAGACTAAATAAATGTTTATAATGTACATAAAGCATGATATTTATGTGATATTTACCAAGTCATTTTGTGCTGGTATTGAGGCTAGAGCTGTGTTTTGCCTCAGTTAAAATATGAAATGTCTGTATGTTGTTGTAAAAATGTTATGAAAATCTGTCTAGTGCCTTCTTATATGTTATTGTTGTAGCTTTATATGTGTTGTAATTATTTTATTTTTTAGTCCTTCCCTTCTTTGCTGTTGTTTCTGTTTTATAATGATAGACCTGTCGTTAAAAATTATTATATTGTTATAAATCGTATGTAACTTTGCATCGATATTTTATTAAAAAGAAGTGAACCGATTAGAGGATTTCTAGAAATGAAATTTGTGCTTTATATTCTTGCCTGGAAGTTGTAAAGATATTTATAGTGCCTTTATCAATATTTATCCTAAAAGTTATGATCTGACTGTTGTAGTTGACATCACATAAACCAATGGTTTTTGTTTGTATTGTATATTATAATCTTAGTGGCCTTGCATCGAGTGCTTTCATTTGTGATAAGTGTTAATAGTATTTTTATACTCTTATTATTTTATTGCCATAATATTTTTGATGCTGCTACTTCTTGTGTGTTATTTCATCCTTGTTCAAACCCTTACAAAATATTTACCTATCCAAAGATGGAATGTTTGGTTAATGACTTTAATACTAACTGTTCTCATTGATACACATGAACATGTAACAAGTTGATGTTACAGCATTAATTGATTAAATTAAATTCAATTAAAACAGTTACAATTTATTGCGTATAAATATGGTTATAAATATACACATAAACAGGTTATGTGCTTTGATAATCGTGGGTAGATCTAATCTAATTATTGATTCAATCTAATAAATTTCTGAATCTAAAAATCATATTTAATCATTTTTTTTATGTTCATAAAAATAATAATTAGATTTTTTCCAATTTTATTTATTTTTGCACCATCACAAAATGATACCTAATGATTTAAAATTTGGTTGCTTTCAAAATTTAACGATATGTTATTTATCATCGAACAAAAAATAAACCACTCGTTAAAAACGACTACTTGGATTTATTGAGAACTCTTTCCCTTTTCAATTCAAATCGTTAATGATTTACAATACTATAATTTGAGCAACCTTTATAATATGTAAGCTAGCTTTAAAATAATCGAACATTTCCTCGTCAGGAAATCCATTTTTTCAGCCAGATTTTATTTTAACTGTGCATTACTATATCTTAAGTCTTTTCAACCATAAGTAAACATTTGACAATCATTGTACAGTATTTGGAATTGAAGATTTTATTAGTTTGTTAATAGCCTTATTCAACTCTTTACGTCCCTAAAGGTAAAAACAATGACTAAAAATGTAAATCTAAATACACTTAGATCGATGATAAAGTAAGATTCCATGAGCAAAAGTCAGTTTCATAGTTTTCATATAGGTCTACTAAAATAATACGCGTAAAAATGATTTTTTTTAAATAAATCTTGCCCAAAGTAAAATTTGTTGGATTACTATTAAATACAAACGATTAGGTTTTAAGGTTACAAAATATTAGAGAACAAACATGTTTTGGTTACCACAGATTCAATTTACTCCCACATATTTAACTTATAGTTTTGGGTCATCTGAAGTCAGTTTTTGGGCGAATTATTGTTCAACTCGTGCGTTGGTATCTATTCATTTTGGGATGTTTCTATATATTTACAAGGACAGTAAAACGCAATAACATATATTTTTACAGCGAAATAAACAATATATTTTTCATACCACTAACTTGTTCTCTGACATTATGGGTGAGCAAAGAGTATCCAGCACACTATGAATTTGAACCTATAATAAGAAAAAATATTGGTAAAAAAAAAACAAAAAAACAAACGTCCTTGTTCATAAAACAAAACCAAAATACTTCAGACAAATAGCTTTAAGGGCTTGCGTGCACCCCATTGGCAAGGCAAGTACTGAAGTAGCCTACTTTACCGAAACTTCCTAGTATTAGCTTTGGCAATATAATAGTTACACTTACCTAAAGATATTATTAAAGACTACCCAGAAAAACAAAATGTATCTTAGCACAGCACTGAAATTTATTGAGAAATTTTATCCTGAACAACATGTATTGAATGAAACAACAATAAAAGTATTTAGAAATATTTATAATAATCAATACCACTGTTGAACGCTTACAATTCTGCAAACAGGTGGATTTAAATTAATGTGTGGTGTGTCATTGAAGACGTTTGCCTGAACCCATATTACCATTAATTTGATCTCTGTAATATATGGTAAATCCTAAAAACCTTAATGTAGTGGGTGACACATGTATTTGTAATACGTTTGCATACGTTTAACAAAATACAATTTTTAATGCTGCTAGTGCATCGCAAATCAACGAATTAAGGAACCGAAATCAAGGACTTTTATCTCTCCAGTCCTTAATGAGTTATAACTATTATTCACAAATTACCAATAATTACTAGCACCACTGTGCTACTCCCAAGCTTATAAAAAATGTTTACAACTGAGCTATTACAGGACTAGTTTGTTAAAAATATAACTCGTTAAAAAACTTTTAAAAGTTTTAGAGGAAAATGAGAAAGCAACTAAAGGATATATTGTTTTTTTCAAGGCACTGACAATGCCTTCTTTCTTGTTTTATAGCTGTAGAGTCAAAATGAAAGCAATTAATAACACACTTTTAATTCTAAATATATTTAAATCGTTTTAAAGAATAATTAAACATCGTTGGTTGAATAAATTGTATAGTACTTAAAAACCGCCTTAAACAACAAAAAATCACATAATGCTTAAGGGTGGTATTTTATTACTTTTATTCACACAAGATATGTGTCCAGTAATGCTGTGTTTAAGCAATTCTGCACTATCGAACAATGATGCAAATCATATAAAACCGCACAAACAGGCAATTTATTGTACCGCACGAACAGTACTCGAGTCTAAGCGGCCGTAGCAATCCATAATATAATTTTAGTCTAGAAATATATTTAAATCGTTCAAAGGAGTTTTTCTTTTTATCTTGTATAAATTATGGCTATTAGCTACATTACCTACTAAATTCAGAATCGCATAGTGCTTAAGGGTAGTATTTAATTATGTCCATTCATATAAAAAAATAGTCCAGTAATTTTGTAAGTGACTTAGAACTCGACCACCTCATTGTGTTAAACATTACCTATTTGGCGTGACTTAGCACTATACTACCTCATTGTGTTAAACATTACCTGTTTGGCGAAGTCAGGTATGAAATCGTCCAACATAACCTAATAAATACTTAACTTAAATGTGTACTTACTTTTTCACTTCAGTAAATTCGTACGCAATTCTATTGCACAATGTTGCAAATCCTACTCAAGATGGCAGTTTATTTACGGAGGGTAGACGAGTCTATTAAACGGTCGCAGGTCGGTGCGCGGCGGCCCAGGCGGCGAGCGAGGGGCGGGACCCAAGGCCATCTTAATTACATAGGTGTCATAAGAACAGGCCGGGGGCGCCTTGAACGCTCAATTAGGACGAAACCTGTGCCAAAAGCTTACCTATAATATACAGTAAATTGCCTCCGGACCACCCAGTGTCGGATTGCTTTATCAACTGGACCGACCTCTCCGCGATTGAGACGGATAGAGGTGTCCGGTGATTAGATGTCGGTAATTGCCACCCTGTCTAATTACAACACAAGGAACATCAATCTCGTCGGAATTTAAATACATTACAGTGTTATAAAAGTCTCTTCTCGCAGTTCTAGTCATTTATCTCCTAGTCCTGACCTTTCTGACGAGATCACCTCCTGGGTATTGGAAGGTGAGGAAAATATATTTTATCAGTGGATTGATACATAACTTAATGAACGGTCAAAATTATGGTCATGCCGTTTTACGACTTTGATTAAAATTTAATTTAAAGAGTATTGTAAGCCAGGTACAACATCTTTGGTTAATCCAGTGTTGGCTTTTGTGCTGTGCTCACTCCTTTATCCAAGACAGCTGCTGAGCTCCGCTAAGCTACATGTTGAAGATAGATCCGTCTCTGTTTGGACCTGAACCCTCACTCCCCTCTGAGTGGGCTGTTTTGCTGTGATCGCTCTCATTTGGACTTGCAACCTGCAACTTTTTGGGCTCATCTAATATGTTGAGGGTTGATCACTCCTGAGAGTGAGAATACAGGTCAATCATACCTTGATCTGACATAGATCATACCTAGATAATAGATGGGTTATCTAAACCCCTCTCTTGAGATAGATACAAATGGGCCTTCCTGAGCAATACACATTTTGATGACTTTAATTTCAAGCCTATAACCTCAACTATGGGTATAAAGCCTCGGTACCATCGAGTCAAGGGACTAAGTATTCAGTAAGTAATCCCTTGTATGGAGCCCTGACCTACGACAAATAAAAATCCTGGGTACCTCTGAGTTAGACTTTATGGGTTGATTACTTACAGTTTGATCCTAGACCCTGGTCTAGGTACAAAGCCTGGGTACCTTTGAGGTAGACTTTGTGGGTTGATCACTTACAGTTCGATCCTAGACCCTCGTCTAAGAAGATACGAAGCTTGGGTACCTCTGAGTGAAAATTTGTTGGTCGATCACTTTCAGTTTGATCCTAGACCATATTTAAGAAGATACAAAGCTTGGATACCTCTGAGGTAGACCTTGTGAGTTGATCTCTCTCAGTTCGATCCTA